CTCTTCGGAGCGGCCGCCCGCGGTCGATGGTCCTGTGTGCTCAGTGCCAAGCTGGCCGCCTCTTGCCTCCAGACTGGGCCAGCCCCCCCCATGCTGGGAGCGGGTGGGTGGTCCCCCCTGCTAAGTCTTAGTTAAATGGGAGGGGTCCAGGGCCGGGGCCTCCCACCCCTGCCCCGCCTCAGGGACCCAGGGCTCGGGTCCCAGAGGCGCCTGGGTGACGTGGGGTCACCCACGTTGGAGGGGGGTGGCGAGAGGGAGCCACCGCCTGCAGGATCTTGGCAAGGAGACGATGGGGCAGCCGGGGTCAGCAGATGTCCCTGGTGCTCTGGGTAGCTCAGCGGGGTTTTCCAAGGGGAACATCTGGACGAGGGAGCCTCAGGCGGGAGTGTGGCTTTGGAAGATAGGTTTAATTGGCCGGCAACACAGTTTTTCACTGGAGAGGGAAACCAGCGCTCTCCCTCTGCCACGGCCCCGTGTGTCCTGAGGGTCCGTCTCACGGGCCCCGGGGAGGCTGAAAGCGAAGGACGCACCCAGTGACAGTGGGGAGGGGAGGGGCCGCCTCTTCCCTGGGCACCTGCTGGAGCTGTGCGGCCCTGGGTGGGGATGGGACCCAGCAGCCTGGTGGGAGGGGTGGGGTCGCCCCTCCTTGTGGCCGGAACCCTGCGCGGCCAGGTGGGGGCTCCGGCCATGCTGTCTCTCCCATCAGTGCACCAAGACCTGCGGGGTGGGCGTGCGGATGCGGGACGTCAAGTGCTACCAGGGGACTGACATCGTCCGTGGCTGCGACCCACTGGTGAAGCCTGTCGGCAGGCAGGCCTGTGACCTGCTGCCCTGCCCCACGGAGCCCCCAGGTGAGGAGGGGGGGGGCTGACAAGGCGGGCAGAGCCAGGGGCCAAGGGGACCAGGAAGATCGAGCGGCTACGGACACCGAGGCCTGGCGGGGGGCGAAGGCTCCTCCTGGGGTGGCGGAACCCGGCTGGGAGGTGAGGGTGGGGAGGGCGGCGGGTGAGGCCTGACTGGGGCTGGGGGTCCCCAGGAGCCACACCAACCCTGTATCTGGCTTCAGAAGGTGGGGCCGACTGGGCGGGGACCAGGAGTCCTCGGTGACTCATCCTGAGCCGGGCACATGGGAGGCGGGGGTGGCCGGGCCTGACATGGGGCCTCGGCGCCTGGAGGAGGAGCGAGGGTGCTAGAGTCTGAGGGGGGTGCCGGGACAGGTGACCCGCTCTGCTTCACACCTGTTCTGTGGAGGGGACACCTGTGGGCCTCCTGGGAAGGTTCGGGCCTCTAGGGGTGAGGTCAAGGACTCCTCCAAACCCTGGCCCTGGGCATCACTCTTGCTGTGCGCAGATCAGACCCCTCGGGGGGATGGCGTGGCGTCCTGGGGAGGGCTGGGGGCAGGGGTGGCAGAGTAGTAGGGCTGGAGGGCCCGACGCAGGTGGGAGGCCCATTGCCCCTGGAAACGGGCACGTAGGGGCCACCTGTCCACGGGTGCTGCCGGCGGGGGCCACCCCCGAGGTGGTGGGGTGGGGGGGTCCTGTCGAGTTTCCACCCCTTGGCCCCCGGTGATGGCCCCCCCCCCCCCCCCCCCCCCGCCGTGTCCCTTCCCCAGACGACAGCTGCCAGGACCAGCCAGGCACCAACTGTGCCCTGGCCATCAAGGTGAACCTCTGTGGCCATTGGTACTACAGCAAAGCGTGCTGCCGCTCCTGCAGACCTCCGCACTCCTAGCCACCCCCGCCGCCCCCCAGAGACCCGAGCGCTCGGCCCCGGGGACCCCCCAGCCACTGGGGCCCCTCTGCGGACACCCTTCCTGCAGGGCACCCGGGCTGTGAAGACGTGACACTGAGCCTCTGCTCTCCCCCGGGGAAGGAGAGCCCGGCGCCCCCCCGCCCCCACGAGCGCACCCCGGGCCCCTGCCCCTGCCCGGAAAGGTGTCTTAGGGCTGCAAGGACGGTCGTGTTTGTGGGTCCCACCGGCCAGCCCCCGGCTCCACCCAAGGGGCCTGGGAATGTCCTCTCTCCCTCCAGGGCTGTGGGGTCGAGGACCAGGGCTGGGGCGGCGGGGAGATCCAGGTGCCGCCGCCTCGGACCCGGATCCTGTTCAGGTGTGCCCCTTCCAGAGGAATTGTATCTCGCAAGTAGCGTCCACTTGCCTCGTTCTATGAAGCTCTCACGCACGGAGGGACCCGCTGCACTTTACGCCCCGGGAGGAGGCACTCTTTCTCACGGCACACTAGGATGTGGTCGTCAGCCAGTGCTCCTGTATGTTAATAAAGTGGTCGTATTTATGGCGGCATCTTGGGCTCCCAGTGGCTCTGGCGGGAGGTGTGCGGTGGCCGTCGGGCTTCGGGAGCCAGGCTGTCCCGCGCTCGAGTCCGGGAAGACTGGCTGAGGCCTGGGTCCAGGACTGGGCTCGGGGCCTAGGACCAAGCAGCAGTGCCTCCCTGAGGAGGGGACGGTCGGGGAAGCAGAGGTGGGGTGCCCGCAGGGGTGACGGGGGTCAGGAGGCATCAGGACCTGGATGTGTTCTCAGAACCGAGCCGGTCTCCCGCCTGCTGACCGAAGTGGAACCCACCGACCGAGGTGGGGGGCTGGAGGAATTGTACGACCTGAGCCTTGGGAGAAGAGGCTGGCCTTGAGATGTGTAGGGGGAAAACAGGAAATGAGGCAGGGGCGGGGGTGGGCCCCAGATTGGGAGCTCAGGAAATATCATCCGTCGCTACTGGTTCCTGAACCTCCTAGAAGGGCTAGTTAATCTGGACTTGGGTGGGGGGTGTGCAGGGCCACTGGAGGGCTTCCTGGGGGAGGTGGTGTTTAGGCTGGTCCAGCAGCAGGAGTGGTTCTCCAGCATGCAAGTAGGGAAAGCAACCAGCACAGAGTCTCCAGGGAGAGGGTGGGGATGGGGAAGATGCTGGAAACCTGCTCTGGCCTCAGCTGGGGGCGGGGGGAGGAGGACCAGGGTGTCCGCCCAGCTCGGGAAGCAAGACTGCCATGGGCTGAGGGGGCCCCGGGGATTGTCTTCTTCGGGGACAGGTAGCAGGGAGGCAGGCGGCTGCCAGAGCAGGGCCCAGCACCCAGCGCTCAGGGCAGCATCGAGGGTGCTGCTCAGTGATGAAGGTCACTGAGGCCCTGGGATGGGCTTGCGTGAGGTCCCCAGCCCCAGGAGAGGTGAGTCACAGTAATCCAGGGGTCTGGGCCCTCCCCGATGCACCCTGCTGCTGTGCCCTGTGGTCACCCTTGCCCCCGGTCCTCCTTTCGGACCACACTCGCCACTTCCTGTGTGCCAGGCTCTGCCTCCAGTGCTCTATCAGGCCTGCTTCACGAACCTCCCAAGAGCCCCTGAAGCGGGTGTCGTTATCCCCCCCCCCCCCCCCCGTGCTGATGGCCAACACGGGCCCAGAGGCCATCAGACACTGGCCCCAGGTGACTCAGCCGGTCACCCCCACCCCGCTCTCCAGGAGCTCAGAGGTTAGGCCAGCGCCTCCCAGACTTGGCAGACGGCCGCGGCCACCCTAGACGTGGCGTGCCTAGACCCAGGCCCCCAGATGGGAGAGGAAAGGCAGACCCTGCCCGGCACTGGGCAGGACGGGGTCCCCTCCCGGAAAGTCCCGGGCAGAGGTTTGGGCTGGCTTGGAACTGCAGGCAGACCGAAGGCGGTGGCGGTGGCGGTGCTGGAGATGAGTTTTATTGGCTTTCTCTTTTCTCGGGGAGCACGCAGCTCCCCGCGGGTCCCCACAGTGCAGCTGCATGAACTCACAGGGATGGGTGTTCACCTCATTTTAAGTGGATCTATGAATCTACACAGAGAACAGAGACCAGGGAAGGAAACGGGAAACGGGAACAGAACGGCCACAGGAAGTGCCGCCTCCTGGTGCTCGCCCCCCCCCCCAGCCCACCCCCCAAGCAAATGCGCAAAACAAACTCATGGGGTTCCACAAAGGAGGAGAGCTTGGGCTGCAGGGAAGCTGGGGGTGGATTCCATTAGCGTGTCCCAACTGAGGCTGGAGGTGAACGGAAGGAGAAAGTCACAGAGAAAGCTGAAAACAGTAAGCCCTCCCTAACTCTGCTCACGTCCGGACGACTCTGGGGCATTCAGCAAGAGGCAGGTGCTCGGGCTGTCCTCGGCTCAGGGGTCCTCAAAGGCTGCTTTGTCTTTTAGGAAGGTGGCTTTGCCGAGGAGCCTGGCAGACAGCAGCGACCCTGCCTCTGGGGCCCTGCTGTGCAGGAGGAGATCTCGCCCCTGGCCGGTGGGGGAGATGCGTTCCCCGTGCCCCTGGTCACTTCCCTGGGGTGACCACTGAGCACCACTTCCCCAGCAGAGGGAGGGAGCTAGAGAGGGGCTCCCAGGGAGACCTCAGCCCTGCTGGGAGCTTGGAGGAGAGTGGGCTCAGTTGAGGTCGGACGTGGAGAGAGAGCAGGATCCGGGGCCCTGCTCCCAGATCCTCCTGAGAAACGGGGCGGGTGCGAGAGTTCGGGTCGGTGTCCCCTGGGACCAGAGCTCGAAGGGCTCTGGATGCTGAGGCCCAGCGGGTGGGAGGGCCTGTCGCAGGCCTCATGGGGGGGAAAGTGGGTCTGTTAGGTCCTGCTCCCCGCCCTGTGCACCCCACCACACCTGGACTTCCGAACGGGGTGCCTGTTTCAGTGCGGGTGCTCCCACGGCAGGTGGTTGGCCCATGGCCTCCTCTACCCTCTGTGCCTCCCTCTTTCACCAAAAAGCCAGTTGAGGCTGTGAATCCCGAGGGCCTGGTTGCCCCTGAAACTTCTGGGACATCTGCAGGAAAGCCAGCCCAAAGAGCGTCTCCGCGGCTTGGCACCGGAAGCCAAGGATGTGCGTGTGAGCGGGAGGGCGCGCGGGGGGGGGGGTGCTCCCCGCCCCCCCGCCGTTCTGGGACTTAATACTTGGTCTGCAATAGCCAGGGAGGGCTTGTGCTACCGGGCCAGTGGCATCGCGGCTGAGGCTCGGGGCGGCGGGCCGGGGTTTTGGAGGGGGGGGGGGGCGGGTGTCGGGGAGTGGGGTCAGGCCCGGCCTCACAGCCAGCGACGGCCAAGTTGCTGGGGCTGAGGTGGAGGCCACTTTCCCCCTGCAGCTCTGCTGGACGGCAGCTTCAGCGTCAGGAGCCTGGCGTCGAGGCCCCAGAGCCCTGCCTTGCCCTGCGGACTGACACCTGGGAGCTCACCTGTGCCCGCCCGCCTGGGAGCCCCAGGCCCCGCACCCCCTACCCCCGGCGGCCACCTTGTGCTCACTGGGCCCTATCCCTGCAGCGAGCCGCGGAGCTCCCCGACCGGCCCCCGTGGGGACAGGGAGGCGCGGAGGGCTGGGCGGGGCCCCGGTCCCGGCCCGGGGCCAGGCTGACACGCCCCGGGGACCCCACCATGGTCTGGGGGCCCGTCGGGCGGGCGGGGCTGCTCAGACGTCGGTGCTGATGCTGCGGCTCCGGGAGAAGGCCTCCCGCATGGCCGAGAGGCGGTTGGGGTTGAGCGCCTGCAGGCCCCCGAAGGCCCCCGGCGGCGGCTCGGCGTCCTCCTGGCTGACGCTCTGGTAGGCCACGCGCTCGCCGCCGTTGCGCACGTCCTCGTCCTCGGGCTCCTGCAGGAAGAAGGCGGGCGGCTCGTAGTGGGAGCAGCTGCGGCAGAGGGTGCGGGCCTGCGGGCTCTTCTGGCTGAAGGAGGTGGAGGCGGCCGGGTAGAGCGCCGGCCCGTTGGTGAGCACCAGGCTGCGGCCGCAGGGCAGCGGAGGCGGGTTCGCGTGCACGGCGAAGTCAGGCTCCTCCTCGTCCTCCTCCGACTCTTCCTTGCAGCAGTAGTACTGCGGGCAAAGGGCTGGTGACCCGCGGCCCGCCCGCCCTCGCGTGCGCGCGCACGCACGCACGCCTGCGGCCGGACGCTCCGCCGGTCGCCACGGCAAGCTGTGCAGGCGGGGAAACCGAGGCACAGGAGGGCCAGGCAGCCTGAAGATGGGCGCTGTGCTGTGCATCTGGGCCTGCTCTCGGGGTTGGGGGGCACTCGGAGGGCCGTCCGGTGTGGGTAGGGAAGGGAGAGCCCAGGGGGCCAGAAACGAGGGCCGGAAGCGAGGCCCAGACGCTCACCCCTACTGCTCTCCCGCATGGCGTGCACCGTCGGCCAAGTCCCTTCCCCTCCCTGAGCCTCCGTGGCCTCACCCTGCGGGGGGTTTGGGAAGCCCTGGGAGGGGTGAACCCTGGCAGGTGGGACCCAGGCCGGGGGGGCGGTCTGCTCGGCACTTTCTCCAGCAGGACCTGCCCCTTCCCCTCTTGCGGGGCCCCAGCCCTCCTCGCGCCTCCCTCGGCGCCCCCGGGGGTACCTGGAGCCGGCAGTAGCACAGAACAGCGATGATACAGAGCAGAATCACAGTCGCCAAGATGCCCCCAGTGATGACCACTGTCCCGGCTGTCATCCGCCCCCTTCTCCATCAACAGCCTGCAACACACATCACCAGGTTTCCCCGCATCACTGCTTCCTCCTTGCAAGAGCCACCCCTTCTGGTTTAGAAAGTCGAGGAGACTAGCCCAGAGGGGAAAATAGAACGCCCCGGGGCATGCGCGCAAGAGGCAGGGGCTGGGGCTGGGCCGCGGTGCAGGGCAGGCCGGCCCTGCCCCTCCGTCTCCGGGCCCTGCGTCCCACGTCTGGAGAGGGCGATGCTAACAGGACGCCCCAGCCTGGCTCGCGGGGCTCCCGTGAAGATTTCGTGAGCACACATTTCGGCACTGAGCGTAGCACGCTTTCAGGGAATGGCGCCCTTCCAGGCTGGCTCTCCCAAGCTCACGCATTTCTAAATTCACCCAAACACAGTCAAGCTGAACATATGGTTTTGTAACCGAACAAGATCGTCCTTATTTTTCCAGATCATTACATTTCCTTCCGCGACATCGCTTCTAGCCACGTCCCGTCGTCTGACGCAACCTGTCCAGTGGTGGTAAAACACACATAACGTGAAGTTCACCATCACGACCGTTTTTAAGTGTGCGGGTTCGGTGGTGGTAAATACTCAACAGAACTTTTGTCGTCTTTCACGACTGAAAACCAATCCTTTTTTTTTTTACGTGCTCTTTTTGATATTTAGGTTGTTTACATTAAAAAAAAATACTTTAAGTGGATGTTTTAGTAAGTGTTTTTGCAGCTAAGTGATGGGAGCCATTTGAGCTACACGGCCGGCTGCGATTACTTGTTCGGGAGAAGTTCCTAGAAGGGGGATTTCTAGGCCGAGGGACAGGCCCTTTGTAAACTCTTCATCATGGAAAATGTCACACAAAGGCAGAGAGAAGGAGCACGTGTCACCAGCTGCACTTCTGTTAGCTTTTCCATCCGTCCGGGCGCTGAGAAACCGGTTCTGGAAAAAAAGCATCCTGCCTCGTAGGCTCTTGCGACGTCCGTCCTCGAGACGGCCTGTTTCAGGGGCTTAACACCTGGCTTGCAAAGTTCCCTCGTAACTGACGATCATCTCCCACAGGCCAGCAGTCGCTGGCTCGGGCACCCCTGCCTCGACTGGCCATCCCTCATTTCTTTTGCAGGGGGGGCAGTGTGTGTGTGTGGGGGGGGGCGACTGAACGTATTAAAGGAAATCCCGGAGCGTGTCAGTTTACTCATAAATCCTTCAGTGCAAAAGCTGACAGATGAAGCCTTAAAAAACAACAAAACCATAAACGCCCTGTCTGTGTTCAGCTTCCTTCACTCAGCTCCCAAATGTCTTTTTTACAGTTGCTTTGTTCAAATCAGGACCCAGTTACATTTGGCTCTTTTGACTCTAGAACAGTTCTGTTCCCTCCTCTCTCGCCCTACGCATCCCGCCGATGTTGTTTATAGAAGAAACTGGGTCGTTTATCTTCACAGAATTTTCCGTGTACTAGAGCTGGCTGGGTTTCCTCGAGTGGCTTCGGACACTGGCGCTATTTTGTCTTCCAAACTGGCTTCCTACCGCGTCACCGTCGGGGGCTGTGACTCTGTTCCGCCTGCCGCCACGTTGAGATCAACGGCTGGTGGGTCCAGCTGCTGTCAGTTTCCCCACTGGCCCTCCACCTGATCGACTTACCAGCCCTCGGGGATTGTGTCCTAGATCCATTATTTAATTAGGGGGCCGCAAAGAGTGGCTTTGCAAGCAGTACGTCTCTTCTGCATTGACTAGCCCTGGTCCTTCTCTGAAGAACTTTCCCTAGTACCTACGTAGTTATCCGAAAATACAGAGTGCAGAGGAGAGGCACAGGTGCTCAGCTCTGTATCAGTTTTCAGAAGAGGGGGGTACCCCCAAGAGGTTTGCGGTGGTTTTCTAGTATCACTGTGATCTCACTGACTTTTATATATTTAATGTAGTTCGGTCCACATCTACTTTTTAATGTTCAGGTGATCCCATTGGGACTGTGGGCTTGGAGGTCCCTCCACAATGGCTCCTGTGTTATTTTGATGGGACCCCCACTAATCCTTGATGGCATTTTGCTTTACATTTTTTTTTTTAATGTTTATTTATGTTTGAAAGCGAGAGAGAGACAGAGCACAAGTTGGGGAGGGGCAGAGAGAGAGGGAGACACAGAATCCGAAGCCGGCTCCAGGCTCCGAGCCGTCAGCACGGAGCCCGACGCGGGGCTCGAACCCACGAACCGTGAGGTCATGACCTGAACCAAAGCCGGTCGCTTAACTGGCTGAGCCACCCAGGTGCCCTGACGTTTTGCTTTTAGGTACAAGGTGTCCCAACTAGGGAATACTTTTTTTTTTTTTTTTTTCAGGAAGAGAAAAATAAAACATAAGTTTCTACTGACTTTATTCCTTCTTAGTTTTTCCCTGTTATACATAATAACTTAAAAATAACGGTACCAATATTTTTACTAACATGTCCACTGAACAGAACATATTTATTTGTTCTCTTTTTGTTTTCACCCCCTCAGGAGTGGATAGTAACAAGACTCTTTCAAAGTCACTTGAAATAATTCTTAGTATGGTTTTTCTATCCACTCGATACTCAGGTTCATTCATTCCAGTTAGTTCTTCCCTTTTTAAAAAAAATTGGTTTAATTTTGCATTTTAATTGTAGAAAACATTCGGTTCCAAAGTCAAAAGCATAAAACCAGGTACATTCAGGGGTCTCACTTCCTGTCACTCCCCTGCTCTGCCCCAGAGGGAACAATTTTACTTGGTTCTGGATTTATCTCCCCATTGCCTCTTTCCTTCCTTCCTTCCTTCCTTCCTTCCTTCCTTCCTTCCTTCCATGTTTATCTTTGAGAGAGAAAGATTGTGTGTGAGCGGGGGAGGGGCAGAGAGAGAGGGAGACACAGAATCCGAAGCAGGCGCCAGGCCCCCAGCCGTCAGCACAGAGCCCGACACGGGGCTTGAACGCATTAGCCATGAGATCATGACCTGAGCCAGTTGGACCTCAACCGACGGAGCCACCCAGGCGCTCCCCACTGCCTCTTTCTAAAAATATAAGCAAACAGAGCCTTCCTCCCTTCTCTGAAGCTAAAAGGGCATTCTGTATAGACTTTCTGTACCTTCCCCTGCTTCACCGAGCGGTCTGTCACTACGTGTACAATATGCTCCCCGGTCACTCCGAACGTCCCCAGGGACCCCTCCAGAACCTGGCTCCTTTTCGTAGCCGCACCGCACTCCGCAGTGTGGGGGAAGCCCCGCTTGCACAGCACATCCTATGGGTAGGTATTTGCACTGTTTCCTACTCCTTGAGATCACAGGAATGTGCAAGGAAGGGTTTTACGGTGTGCACGTTTCTCAAGTTTTTGATAACCCTTGCCAAAGACTTGCTGGAATCTGGGCCCGTTTTTTCCCCCTTCCAGGAACGTGTGAGAATTGACACGGGATGTTCAGACTCGAGATCTGAGCCGTTGGTACGTGGGGAGCGAGAGGCTGCACCCCTGTACGTGCACGCGGCTGGTGGCGCCTGACATCAGTCCGCAGTTAACTCCAAGGAGCCCCTAAGGGGGACCTCCTTCGGCCCCGCCACCCCTCTGCCCTGGCTGTGCTCACCCCCAGGGCAGCAGTGTGGGCAGGGGCAAAGCTGGGATGGGAACCCAGACTCCGGACGGACGGGCAGACAGAAAGGCAGATCTGTACAGACCCAAAGTGATGAGCCGATGAGACACAGACTCACAGACGGCCCCGAATTCAGACAGAGGTGCAGACAGGCAGATGCAGGCAGGGCCCGAGTCAGGAAGACACAGCACAGGCCACACAGACAGACAAAGCAGGAGCCCCAGGGACCCCCACATTCCTGGGCGCCCTGCCAGGCGGCTCCCACCCACCTCGGCCCCCAGGGCGGCTGAGGCCAGCTGGCCTGCCGGCCCCACCAAGGGTGCGGGCCGACCTGGGGCCGGATCCAGGGAGCAGGGTGTGCTGGCGGTGGGGGGTGGCGCTGGGCAGGGGCCAGGCCCGCCGTCCAGATGCGTTTCACGCTTTTCGCTGAGGTGAGGCAAAGCAAAGCAAAGCAAAGCAGGCAGATGTTGGCCTCACTCCCCCGCGCCCTTCCCTCCTGTGGGGCTCACGGGATACCACAGCTCACCCCAGCCTTCACCTGACGCGGCTAGAAGGCGGCAGCGGGATGGACCCCAGGCAGCGGGATGGACCCCAGGCAGCGGGATGGACCCCAGGCAGCCGGATGGACCCCAGGCAGCGGGATGGACCCCAGGCAGCCGGGTGGACCCCAGGCAGCGGGATGGACCCCAGGCAGCCGGATGGACCCCGGGCAGCGGGATGGACCCCAGGCAGCCGGATGGACCCCGGGCAGCCGGGTGGACCCCGGGCAGCGGGATGGACCCCGGGCAGCCGGGTGGACCCCGGGCAGCGGGATGGACCCCGGGCAGCCGGGTGGACCCCGGGCAGCGGGATGGACCCCGGGCAGCCGGGTGGACCCCGGGCAGCGGGATGGACCCCGGGCAGCCGGGTGGACCCCGGGCAGCGGGATGGACCCCGGGCAGCCGGGTGGACCCCGGGCAGCGGGATGGACC